GGTCTACAGAACCAGCTCCCCAGCTACACAAAAAAACCCTGGCTTGGAAAAAAAAAAAAAAAAAATCTCTGCAACGGTGACACACCTGATTTCCAAAGAATGAATGAATGGAATGGCATAGGACAGAAAATCAGTGTAACCAATTTTAGGAACAAAACGTCAGGTCAGGTTGTATAAATTCAACTCCCAATATAAAATCACAAATGTTTGCTGAAGCAAACATAAACCAAGCTCATAAAAACAAGGCAGAAAATGAAGTAAGAAATCCTGACAGATGGCACTTGATGCCTGAACACATATTTGAGAACCAGATGATAGACTGGGGATCCAGACTTTTAGCAAAAACTTGATCCAAACCTCAAGGGAAAAAGAAAAGTGGGCAAAATAAGGCCTGTTAAACATCATGACTGATTGCCAAAATTTGGCTTTCTCCATTGAGGGCCTTGGGCATGTTTAAAAATTTAACTAAAAAGTGATAAATGATATTTTTGAAATCTTTTATATAGATGTATATGTGAAGGAACCAAACTTTCTGGTGAGTCTAGACATTATGTGAGGACAAATGCCAGATCTTTCAAACAAGCTGTTGTCTACTGTTGGACTCAATAATCAGATCTCTTCAAAAACTTGCCTGTGGGGTGTGGGCTTAAGGCAGATACCTTCCTCTCCAGCATAAGGGCCTCCTTCACTTGAGGGCTTGATCTCAAGTCTTTGCTACATCAAAACCCTTAGTTAGCAGCCTGCTACCAGAAGTTAGTTAAAAATGCAGCCCCTCAGGCAGGTGTGGTGGCACATGCCTTTAATCCCAGCACTTGGATGGGCAGAGGCAGGTGGATCTCTATGAATTCAAGGCCAGTCTGGTCTACAAAGTGAGTTCCAGGACAACTAGGGCTGTTACACAGAGAAACCCTGTCTCAAAAAAACAAAAACAAAAAACCACAGATTCTGAGGACCAATCAACTCATAACCTACTTTTTAACACCATAGCCTGGTGGTCCCTATGTACACCAAAGCAGGAAATACACTGAATGAAGTCTCCCACCAGAGAATACAGGCTAATAAAGCTACTTTCACAGTTATAATGGATTTTAAAGGCTCCAACAGGGAGTTTTCTGTCAAGGATTTTGACAAACAGGAGTGTTGTGGCTGAGGTAGTATCTAGAACAAGGTAACTTTCCTCTTTCCTTTTTTAAGTCTAAGAATAAAATGGGTGGGGATTTAATATTCACTTACCCGTTGATAGATGTTCTAGACATAAACAGGCTAAAAACAGATGATACAAAAGAATGATAGAGTTGGATAAATAGCCAGCCAGATTTCTCAATGCTGTTGTTTAAGAAGATCTGTGTTCCTTGATCAAGATAACTCTGAACAAAGACAGACTGAAGTGATTCACATAACTTCTCTCTGTTGCACACATACCACTAAGGGGGAAAAAAAAAGGAAGATTAAGCATAGTTGATTTAACAGCTAAGAAAACAACAACAACAACAACAAAAAAAAAACAGAAGTCTAAAATCTAAGATCTTCAAATATAATCTCATGACTCTGAGGGCAATCATCAATCATCTTCTCTACCCACATAACCCACAAAGTACAAACTTCTTTGGGTATGACCTCTCACTTCCTTCTCATCACCCAGCCCTCTAGGTGGAGAGGAAGGGTGAGAGGTTTTCAGGTCATACAGCACAGAAGGAGCTGGCAGAACCAGATCATCAGCCTAGGTCTTAGAACCCTGACCCAAGGCTTCAGTCACAGCACAGTCAAGTCAGACGACCTTCCTTGGCTGAGACTGAACTGTCATATAATTCAGAGATGGAGCTCAAATCTGCCAACCAAACCAGCAGCACAGTGAGCAAGAATTAATACTCTGGAAAGCCCATCAGGTTGCCTGCCTGTCTTCTTCAGAGATATAAGGAAAAGAGACCTTTGGACATCCTGGGGTGTACTTTAGCAATATGCCTGCCAGCAACTCTTAAGAGACTGCAAGGTGAGCTCAAGAAAGCTTAAGTTCATTCTGCAGTCAAGAAAACCAGTGATCACACACACACACACACACACACACACTCTCTCTCTCTCTCTCTCTCTCTCTCTCTCTCTCTCTCTCTCTCTCTCTCTCTCTCTCTCTCTCTCTCTCTCTCTCTCTCTCTCTCTCTCTCTCTCTCTCTCTCTCTCTCTCTCTCTCTCTCTCTCTAGGAATAGGCTCTAGCCTGAAAATATATTTTTAAAACAGAATTCCACAACTATACAGTTAACCTTCCAGGCTAGACACATGGCTCAATGGTTAAAAGCACCGGCTGACCAAGCAAAGGACCCAGACTCAGTTTTCCAGCACCCACATGGCAGCTCACAACCATCTTTAACTACAGTTTTAGGGAATTTAATGCCCTCTTCTGGCTTCCTCAGGCACAGCATGCACATGATACATGTATATACATGCAGGCAAAACACCCATAGGCATAAAATAAAAATAATTTTATTTGTTTAGCTAGCATTTCCAAAACAAACATTTCCCATCTCCCTAGAGTTAGGGTAGCAGAAAAGTGGGACAGGAAGTTGCATGGCAGCTTCAGTGTCAGACCCACAAGCAGTCCTAGCTCTATAACTCCTATGTGAGCTCAGACAAGGTGATCCACCAGTATCTATCTTGGTAAGGTACTATGAGGATTAAACAAAAATAGTGCAGGCAAGTCAGTACAGCACAAAGCAAACAGTAGACACCTGTGAAAGCAGTGGTGATTCCTCTAATACAGCTACCCACAAGTCCCTTATATACAGCAGGAAAACTGCAGAGATGGTTACTTTTAGTGCATTATTTATTAGGAAACTACTAACTTTTCCCAATAAGGGGTCTACTAGTCAAAAGTGACTTGCTTAACCTTGACAAATCTGACCACTTACCAGCAATAAGTGTCCCATAACTTCCTGCACAATTAGTGGAGCAACTTTACAGTCATCCAACACTTACTAAATGCTGAGTACAATAAGTCTTCCTGACACTAACATTAAAAGAAACCAAATGTAAGCCAGCAAAAACATGCAAAAGTCACAGTGTCAATGATTCATCCTTTATACACCCTATATACTCCAAACTTTCTCATTCTTGACTAGTTTGTACTAACTTGCTATTTAACCACTGTTACCAAAACTGCCTGTGCTTTTACCTAACACATAGTGTTGTCTCTGCCCTATAATGACAAGCTATAAAAATGGCTTAAATCCACAGCCAACACTTGTCTCCTTGGTCTGGAAGTGTTCTTGCTTAATCATTTACTAATCCTGAAATCTTACTGAGCCTGAAGCTATGCCCCCATACAGCTCATAAATCATTTTTATTGTACTCATGACCTTGTGCACATTCTGAACTCTAAACTCTGAGCTACTCTGACTTTTATTTTTTTACTCTGAAATGACTAATCAGGTTGAAACCCAGCACCTTGCTAACAGGCAATCAGGAACATTCTAATAATGTGGGCAAGAAGTCATCCAATTGAAAACCAGGCGCTAAGAATTTCCTGGCATCCATTTGTAAATGGACAATAAGAATAACAATGGATTCTGACTTCCAAAAGTAAGCAAGAAGTGGCATCATTTACTGCTATTGTTTTCAAGCACCATGAAAAAAAAATCTTGAATTTTAATAGCATATTTCTCCATTCATAAATACTAACACATGTGGTTGAACTTTTACTGCCACAAGTTTTCTCAGGAAAGAATCTGGTGGTCTGAATAAGAATGGCCCCCATAGGCTCATATATTTGAATGCTTAGTCACCAGGGAGTGGCACTATTTTAAAGGATTAAAAGGATTAGAATTTGTGCCCTTGCTGGAGTAGGTGTGACCTTGTTGGAGGAAGTGTGTCACTACGGGTTTGCTCTGAGGTTTTAAAAGCCCATGCCAAGCCCAGAGTCCCTCCCCAGGCCTGCAGATTAGGATGTAGTTCTCGGCTCCTGTTCAAGCACCTGTCTGCCACCATGTTCCCTACCATGATAACAGACTAAACCTCTGAAACTGTAAGCAAGTCCTCAATTAAATATTTTCCTTCCTAAGAGTTGCCTTGGTCATGAAGTGTCTTCACAGGAACAGAAAGTGATTAGTAAATGCTGCTGAATAAAAAGGAGTAAAGTTCTTCCCTATGGAGGTTTCTATGTCCCTCCTGGCCAGTTATGTGATACAAGGCTCAAGTCCACAAGAGCACCAGACATCATTACCAAAAAGCAGAAACAACTCAGCTGTCCATCAACTGATGAGTAAAAAAAAGTGTAGTAGATGCATACAAGGGAACAATGTTCAACCATAATAAGAATAACGTTCAGGCTCATGCTCCAAAGGATAAGCCTTGACAACACACTAAGTAAAATAAGCCAGTCACAAGAGGTCAACTACTGTATAGTTCTACTTATATCAAACAACCAAGACATAGAAATCCAGAGACAAAAAGCAAATTCTGTAACCCAGGCCTTGGGCCAAGAAACAGTAGGAACTGGCTTATTAATGGACATAAGGTTTCTATTGGAGGTAGTAAAAATTTCCAAAGGTAGACATTAGTGATGGCTGTACAACTCTGAAAATACTAGAAACTATTGTGCATTATAAATTTTTTGCAGGGACTGCGGAGATGCCTCAGTTGATAAGGTGCTTGCTTTGTAAACTTGAGGACTTGAGTTCAGTGGCTAGGACCCATGTAAATGAAGAAGCCAGGCATGTGGTGGTAAATATAATCCAGTGCAGGGAAGGTGGAGAAAGATAAAGTCCTAGGGCTTGCTTGCCAATCAGCCTTGCCCTTCGTATTTGACCAGTGATGGACCATCTTAAGAGAACAAAGTGGACATAACTCACTTTCTCACATAACTGAGAAATGACATCCAAGGTTATTCTGAGTGCCATTTACACTTACCTCTCTCTCTCTCTCTCTCTCTCTCACGCACACACACACACACACACACACACACACACACACACACACACACACAATTTTCAAGGCAAACACGCCTACACGTAGGTGGATAGTTTGATCCTACAGAAATTAAGCACTCCGGAAACACATATGACCTAGCAAATAATATGTAACAGTAATAATGGTCAAAGTGCTCACCATGGTTTCCAAGGCCTTACAAGATTATTGTTCTTTCTTGTCCACAGCCTTACCTCACAGCATATACTACCATGATCCTGGGCTCTCACTTTAACAGTGTTCTGTACTCTCTTCTAAAGGCTCCTTTCCCACAGCTATTCCATACAACATTTGTTTCTGCCCACTGTGCTCCCCGCCTGGTTAGTGCAGCCCAACTTAAGCATTTCCTCAGTTTCCCTGAACTTCTAGAGTAGCTTAGAATTTCCTATACTAAGCCCCTCTCATACATCCCATGTGTCTGTTTCCTTGGCAACATGTGTGCCAGCTAAATAGTTTATTGCATGTTTAGCATCTATCCTCACAGACCAAAAGATTCATAAAGACTGGGACAACAGCTGACTTCAGAATTAGGTAGACAGAGACAAATGATTTATTTGCCTCTGGCTCTTAAAACAATTGCTCTGCTAAGACTCACAGGAAGTCTACATAGGCAGAATCTGGCATCTTTAACAAACTTGTAAAGGAAACAAGGATAACCACAGAGACATCCTGTCATTGGGTTGTCAGTTGCTCAAACTCCAGGGTTTCTACAAGCCTTACTTAACCCTAACTTTGCAAACAATGGTTAAGAATTATCTACTTACTGACCTACCACAAAACTGCATCATCACACACAAGCACACATGGAAGAGACAGTGAGCACCCATGGGTGCCAGACACCTGGCAAATCTTTATGTTGCAATTACACCACATAATTTTTGTTTTGTTTTTTGAACAGTGCCTTACACTGTAGCAGGGGTTGACTGGAGCTTACTATGTAGCTCAGACTAAAAGCAACAGTCCTGCCTCAGCCTTCCAAGCTCTGAATTACAGGCATGAGCTACTTCATGTGTGTTAAACTTCCTATCTTTTGAACAGAAGGAAGTCTAGAGTCCCAGAGTGCTTTCAGCTGCTTCTAGATCCTATTCCTGTGACTGTATGCCAAGTGCATTTTTAAAAAGAGTTCTTGCTTCACTCTATCCAGTACTGCTTGAAAATAAACAGGGCTATTCGCCAATGAAGCTGGTCTGGACAAGTCTGAAGAAAAAACAATCCAGTCTGGACAGTATATTCCTATGGGCCAGCGTTTCTCAATCTTGGCACCGACACTTCGGCTTGGGAACCCTTTGTTACAGACTACCTTTACATATCAGATGGGAGTAGCACCACCCCAATGCACAAAATGCCCTCCAAGGAGCAACTGCCACTTCTTGAGAACCTATATGAGAACTGGATTTAGCCAGTAGTGTTTCCTAACTACCTTGGCTTAACTGTGATCTAAGATGGCTACTCAATTACAGGAGGGACTCATTGGTCTTGGAAACTTGAAT